TTTTAAAATTCAACCAAACAGTATCTCTATTTATTGGCACCATCAAAAGTGCCCTTTCTATAAACCACTAATAAAAAACGGAAAAATAATTGTAAAAAAAAAAATTAGATCTTCCAATCCAACCTGTTGAAGCATATACTTGCTGATCACATCTGATTGATCCAATAGTACTATGGATGGTTGGGATTGGCTTAGGACCATAGGTACAAACATGGTGAGCTTTTTGGAAAGATCCAAGTAATGGGCCATTGGTTTTAAAATGAAAATAGTGAAGCTTTGGCATCTCCTTACCTCTTCCCATAGTGTCAAATTGACCCACCATTGTTTGGGAAGATGAACTGTTTTTGAGCTGGTTTTTTCACTTTTTTTTTGTAATATATATTATTATAAATTTTGGTAGGTTTTTAGTGTAGAAGTTCATGAAAAGCATAAAAACAAAAAACAAAAATGATGTTAGCTAAAAAAATTTAGAATGTTTCCTTTTAAAAAAAAAAAAAAAAAGTTCCCAAACTGGGTAGAAAGGCAAAGGTTGTCAATCACTTTTCATGCTTTCATGCTCCTAGAAATTTGCTAGATTTTCCTCTAGATTTGGCAATGAAAGCTGATGAAATGGAAGTTTTTAAAACACAGGAATGAAATCAAGCTCAAGATTCTCGATTATCTGAAGATAGTGTCTTCATGCACAATCTAAACAATATGATAGAAGCATAGTGAGCCCATGAAGACACATTGCAGATATACTAGATCGACTACATCCTTATTCAGCACACATGGTAAAAAGATAAGATTAACCCAATCTTATCTGCAATAGTATCTCTTTTTCAAAAACGAGGGAGGGAGACTGTATATATATGTAATAAAAAGTCGTATTTATTATTTTAGACTTTTTGTATTCTAGCTTCATAGACTTTTGGAAAAGCAATGAAGCCACGGTTAGATTAGAAGACTTTTTGTTTTTAGACTTCGTGTTTGTATTCACAAGTTGTATTCTATAAATTAGCATTAAAACCAACATAATGGATTATTGTAAATTTTCAAAAACTCTCTCATGTTTTGCTTAGATCTCATACTTCTACTTCCGCAATAAATTAGAAAATATATCTACTAAGTATTTTTTGTAGCTTGAGTTCAAAGATGCAATGAAGGGAAAAAAAAAAAAGAAAAACACAAGGCTATTTACTTTTGGGGAAACAGTGGTAATAAGAACAATGTCCTTTTAATATTTGTTTAAAAATAAATAAATAAATAAAAATAAAAAAGATAATTTGCTATCAAGAAACTTCAAAGTAATATTGGTGACTTCCAATAAAGAAATGTTAATCAAGAGAGGAAAAAAAAATTGAATAGTATGGAGAAGGTTCAGCCATTTACGTATGGACCAATTTCATGAAAGTTCCAAGAGTTGAAACTAAAAGGTCCCAAGAAGAACTTCTTGGTTAATAACACAACTGAGCTGGTAAGTCTTGTCCATTTCTGAATAAGTATAGAAAGCATTCTCTAGGCATAAAGTGCCCAATTGATATGAAATCTTTTTCCATATGATCCAAAGCTTGGACCTCTTTTTCCAAGCAATGGTGAAATTCACATTACCCATATGCTCCAAAGCTTGGACCTATCATACAAGTTGCATAGATATGGACGGTACTAGTGATGAGTTGGATTTATCATACAATATTAATACTATACATACATAAAAAATTTATTAAAAAATATAGACTGTGGTACTAGAAACACTATGTTCATCCTTCTAGAGTCATATAAGAGATATGTTATATCATGAGAATGGAGGAGATAAATAATTGGGTGTGTACTGAGGTTATGGTTAGAATTGTAGGGCACAACTTATACCATGTGATAAAGAAATGATAGAAATTCATAATTTAGACTCTTAAATTCATCCACAATGATATGTGGTAACGAAATTAGGCCTTACGTGATTCAGCGTAATAAAAAATTGGCATCTATCATGTCACATAATTGTAGATCAAATTGTGAGAGTTTTATTAAGGATCTCAAATATTTTCCATATGATATTACTTATCCTTTTTTTTTTTCCCCCTTATATTTGATTTTCATCTATCTATATATACACTATACATAAACTGAACACCCATGTTGGTGTTCTGAAGCCTTTGCCTCTCTATATGCCATGTGGATTTCTCAATTTCTTTAAAATAAATTAAAAAAGAAAAAGAAGAAAAGAAAGTTAGAGAAGAGGATAAGACTCGAACTTAACATCTTAGGTTTGATAAAATTAAAAAAAATACACTTGTCACTTGAATGACACACAATATGTAATATCTTTTTATTTATTTATTTATTTGAATTGTACACGCATCACGTGTGCTAACCGCAAGTATTAGTATTAAAGTTATTCAAAATTCTTATACTATACGCATCAAATAATGGTCTAAAATGCATGCAATGTCTTATTATCTCCCTTCTATAATATCTTTTCTTATTCTGTAATTAAATAAGTTAAAACAAATTGATGTATATTATTGATTGATTGATGTATATTACAAGATTGATGTATTTGTTATGCTTACAATGATCATATATATAGAAGAGAAGAAGGTAGTAGGTGAAGTGGTAGGGGGTGAAGTGGAGGTGGTAGTGGTAGGTTAGGTGAGGAGTAGGTGAGGAGGTGAGTGTGTGTGGTAGGTGGTAGTGGTAGGTTAATACAATTTACAGTGGTAGGTTAATACAATTTACATTAACAGCCCCCCTCAAACTCAAGGAGGATAGGTACTAGCCAACTTGAGTTTGGAGAGAATAACAAAACAAAAAAAAATAAGCTGACAAATAAAATTAAAAATGGGATAGGAGACACTGTATGGTTGTGTCAGACCGTTGTAGCAGACAGTTTACGGGGTCATGTCGGACCGTTGTAGCAGACACTGTGTGGTCGTGTCAGACCGTTGTAGAAGACAGTTTATGGGGTCATGTCGGACCGTTGTAGAAGACAGTTTACGGGGTCATGTCGGACCGATGTAGCAGACAGTTTACGGGGTCATGTCGGACCTGTGTAGAAGACAGTTTACGGGGTCATGTCGGACCGATGTAGCAAACACTGTGTGGTCGTGTCAGACCGTTGTAGAAGACAGTTTATGGGGTCATGTCGGACCGTAGCAGACAGTTTACGGGGTCATGTCGGACCGATGTAGAAGATTGTGGAGGTGCACCAAGGGGGCGACTTAGGGAGTGCGCCATGAGCGACTTATACATGATACTGTGTATAACCCCCCCTCAAACTCAAATAGGTGTGAACATAGAAACCTATTTGAGGTTGAAACAAAGGGATTGATAAAGCTGATCGGGGTAGAAGACACTGTATGAGTGTGTATATAGGCTGCCCAAAAGATATACATAGATGTAGATATCGAGCCCTCAAAAGTCATGCCCTCAAAAGGTGTGCCCAATCTGTCAAAAGGCGTGCCATCAAAAGGCGTGCCCGATGCATCAAAAGGCGTGCCAGATATGATGGCGAGGCACGTGAGTGCCTTAGCTGGCGTGCCCGTTTGTCGTCTGGCGTCAAGAGGCGCGCGATGCGCGTGGCTGCCTCGGCTATTTAACCAAGACAGAGCCTGAGGCTGAGGCAGAAGCAAAAAACCTGCGAAATTCGCTGAAAAACTCTGCCGTTTCTGAGAGAGAGACTCTGTAACACTCTGTTGCCCAGAAAATGGCGTCGTCGTCCCGTGGTCTGCTGACTCTCTTTCCCGACCTCAACGAGTCAACAAGAGAGATAACGGGTGCGGTGGCTAGTGAAACTCAACCAAGCGCTTCCGGTTTTGCTCCGTTGAACTTTCCGATGCGGTCTGTGGAGTTATATCTTCCTTAGATTGGACTTTTTAATAATTTTATCAAAATATACAAGTATTTTAAATTATTTTAGCTTAGGCCTATTTTGATAACACGGTTAAAAGTCGATTTTTTGAATTTTTTAAGTCACATCATTTTTTTACACATTTTTAAAAAAAAAATTAAAAAAAGAGTTAACTTTTAATATAGTTTCCAAAATAGGGATTAACAAAAACCCAGTTACTTTTTATGCTTGTATGGCGTCCGTTTTTAGATTTGCGAAGCAACTTTGAATATGGCTTGGTTCATCGAGAAGAAGACCGATTGCAAAAAAATTGCTGCATCGTGAAGCTTGCCTTGCATTCGGCTGCTTGACAGCACTTAAAAAAGTTACATTTTTTTTTTTTGTCTTTAATAAAAAAAAATTCAAAATTATGTCCAAATTTTTTACTTTTTCCAATCCATTTTACGTAAACAAATCTAAAAAGTAAAAAATTGATTTTTTTTTTTTGGCCCTTTTTTTCCCTTTTAAAATTTTTTTGAAATTTTAAAATTTTTTTTTGTTTTTTTTTTTTTTTTTTTTTTTTTTTTTTTTTTTTTGTGTTTTGGAAAGAAGAATAATAATAAAAATGTATTAATGGGGAAGAGGCAATTCCCGTCGGTGTGAGCAAAAGGAGATAATAATAATAAAAAAAAATAAATAAATAAATAAAGAAATAAAGTGAAAGGAGATAAGAACATCATGATGGCTTTGGTGGGTGGAGTCTGTGGGTGAAGTGCAGAAGTGGACGTGGGTGCTGTAGTTAATATAGTATAATAAGCATATATTAAAATAAAAGAAAGTGGTTGCAGAAGAAAAAGAAGAGAGAGAGAGAGTTTGGTGGTGTGTTGTTGTTTTACTCTCAAATCTGCCGAGAGAGAGAGAACATGCAGCTTTGAGGGAGAGACTGGACCAGTGAGAGAGTGGTCGTTGCATATGTGTGTGTATGCCGAGAGGGAGAGACTGGACCAGTGATGGCCACAACGGGGATGCTGTCGAGCAAGGCGTCGGCGAGGCCGCTGACTTGTGGGTGGCGCCGGGGCCGGAGGTGGCGACTTGTGGGTGGCGCCGGGGCCGGAGGTGGCGATGCAGACGCTGGAGAGGGAACGGCATCGTTTGCGAGCTGTGAGAACTCTGCTGGTGCGTTGACCATGATATGAGCTTGGAGAAAATTCAGAGAGGACTGTCAACGAAGGTGCAGACACCAAGTTTTTGGTACAATTTCTATTACCATCGCATCCTCAAAAAGCTCTAGCTGAATTTTCAATCTCTAGGAAGCAGACTTGTGCTTTCAGCTGAATCCTCGTCTTTTACATCATATCGCTGCTTCCCAACGGAGAATGGAACGTATCTGTACTTAATCATATGTAGTATCTGTCGCTTCACGGTAAGTGTGAACAGCATCACAAAGTAGAAAAGGAGTATTGGCCAAAACACAGGCACATCAAATATGCTGAAGAATGTCATCACAAAGGCAATGCAAAAGGCTCTTGTGATCGAATACCAGAACTTGAATTCGGGAAGTCGGCGAACGAAGGGGCGAAACTCGTCGGAGTTCCGGATGGGGAGTGAGGGGCCATCGGAGAGGTCTTGGAATTGTGGATCGACCTGAGGAGAGAGAAACCCGATGAGGAGATTGAGGATGTAGATTCCGAGAGCGTACGATACGAGGTAGAAACCCGGGAAGATGACACTCGGAGGACGTATATGATCGCGATTGCAGCGAACGCGATCCAGCGCTTGCGTACGTATGGGTTCGACTTGTCGAGTAAGTATTGGTACCGCTGGCTCACGGCGAAGCTCCACCGTGACACGGCCGCCGCCGGAGAACAAGACCAGATATCGGCGGAAGCGCTTTAGAGCTGGTGACATACTCGTGTTCAATTACAACCCACAGGGACACAATGTGGTAATTGTGAACAAGGCTGGTTATGATAGTTGCAAGGCACCAGCTGGAGCCAGGGTGTTTTCTTCTGGGAAAGATCAAATCAAGCTTGTCAAGGGTCAGAACTTCTTCATTTGCTCTCTCCCTGGCCATTGTGGTTCTGGAATGAAGATTGCTGTTTCTGCAGCTTAACCAACCCATACCCTCTTCTTCATGCTCCCATCCCATCTATATATATATATATATGTTTAGAGAGAGAGAGATTAGAGAGAGTTTGGGTTGTGGTGTGTTGGTGGACTATCATTGTTGCAGACATGGTGTTCGACGAAATGTCCCAGAGGGATTTTGGGTTTGCTTCGGCGAGGTGGTGAAGAAGAGTGAAGGTATGTGTAGCAAATTCTAGCGGACTAGGTTGAGATCCGGCGGGCGGCCAAGGCGAGGTTGCCGCCCGCCGGTGAAGCGAAAAATACTAAGTTCTTAACCTAGCTCTGATACCAAGTTAAAACAAATTGATGTATATTATTGATTGATTGATGTATATTACAAGATTGATGTATTTGTTATGCTTACAATGATCATATATATAGAAGAGAAGAAGGTAGTAGGTGAAGTGGTAGGGGGTGAAGTGGAGGTGGTAGTGGTAGGTTAGGTGAGGAGTAGGTGAGGAGGTGAGTGTATGTGGTAGGTGGTAGTGGTAGGCTAATACAATTTACAGTGGTAGGTTAATACAATTTACATTAACAAAATACAAAAATACAATTTAAAATTTGACTTTTATCCTACTCGTTATTTCTATTTTATACCTCAATTTTAAGGTGACTATCTACGTTTGCTAAGGATTGTATTGGTGGTGAGATACTTTCGAGTAGACTAGAAGAGGGGAGGAGAGAGAAAGTGGGGGAAGTTCGAAGTGTGAGATTTTGAGTTTTGTGAGGTCAATTATAGACCGTTCAATACAACAAAAGTATGAACGAAACATGAAATTTCTAAATTTTACATATCTAAAATGATAGTGGAAGTATTATTAGTGAAAGTGGAGGTGGTAGGAAAGGTGATTGGCTGCAGGTGCAGCCACCGGTGGTGGTGGTGACAGGTCCAGATCAGCACAGCACATGGGGGCGCCGCCTATGCAATCATTGGCTACATTCACCCAATTAAGTGAATTTTGGTATTTTTTTAAAGGGAAATGGTTTGTAGCCCTAAAAAAATTCACCCCTAATCCCCCTAATTTTTATTTTTGGCAATTTTTTTCTTTTTTTTTTTTTTTTTTTTACTTAATTCCAGATCAGCACAGCACATGGGGCCGCCGCCGATGCAATCATTGGCTACATTCACCCAATTAAGTGAATTTTGGTATTTTCTTAAATATTATCAAAATGTCGGTACAATTCATGACCGCTCTTAGTGGGTTGATGTTGGGCTTTTGTGGGGAGTGCTGTCCCCTCCCACTTGCCCATTAGCCCAATCAGTATGGACCCGCCGAAAAGTCAAAAATGGCTTCCCAATCTCCTCCGATACCTTCTTTCCTTTATTACTTATCATTATAATTAATTATTATTAGTATGAGTAATGGGGGAGAGAGGGAGATAAGAATCTCCAAGATTCAAGGGAAAGTAAAAGAATCATATTTGTTGCAATTTGAATTCCTGATGACCACCAGGTAATGCACCCACTCCATTTTTTCAAACAAAATACCTAATCACGTTTTTTTTAAAATAAGAAATTCAAATTCAACAATTCATGATTGTAATAAGAATTTGAAATTTTATTTTTAATAAAAAATATTTGTATAACCAATCATCAACTTATGTCAATTCCCATAGTGCAAACCTATATCATGGCAACTAGTTGCGGGGATACTAAAGGACGGACTGATCTAGGAAGTTTGGATGGGACAGTCGCACTTTTAAAAATTTTAAAAATATTATATATTGTATTAAAATTTTAAAAATAATTAAAATTATAAGAATTTATACTCTCAAATATACTTTTGCACTTCTATATTGATAATCTTGGATTCATTTTTGGGCCTATTTAGGCCCAATTTTGGGGATAAACCTACAAAGTAGCTGCTTTGGGCCCCAACAAAAAGTTGAAAATAGGATCCTAAAAATATTTATAGTCTCATACTTGTCCATTAAATACAAGCCCAATTCAATATTACAAGTTCAAAGTACTAAATGATTAAGGGGAAGTTATGGACCGGTCCTTTAAACTTGATTTAATTCTCATGGGGTGCTGACCCAAAATAATTTAGCACATCTTCCCATTTTATCTTTGACATTCAGCCTACACGTAGAAATCGCTCAACCGTTCCACGCATTCTCTCTCTCTCTCTCTCTCAACTAGCCACCGAAGGCCACTTCCGACCTTTGACAATATTTTTTTTTGGCTATTTTCCATTTCCATGTCAATACCACGATGCTGGCAACAAGAGAAAAAGAGAAGAATATAGATGAAGAAAATGAAGGAGAGGGATAAGGAGTCATATTCAGTGATAAATTTAGTTATCATAATCACAAATCACAAATCAACATAAGATTCAAAGACATACTCAGTGATAAATTTATCACTGCTATTCAGTGATAAATTTATCACTAACTGTTTGTTAAAAAATTACAAAAAGAAAATCTCATCATCATCGTTACAAATTAACATAAGATTCAAAGACATATTCAGTAATAAATTTAGCAAATAATAAACACATTCATTGATAAATTTCTCACTAGTTGTTTGTTAAAAGATTACAAAATAAATAAATAAAAAATGTCCTCGTCATCGTCACAAATCAACACAAGATTCAAAGAAATATATTAATGATATATTTATCACTGATACAACAGATTTGGTTTAAAGAAATAAAAAGAGAGAGAGAGAGAGAGGGGGAGTGAGGAAGAGGGAGGTGATATCTGGAGAATCAATGTTGCTTGTAGTCATTTGAAGTTGATTTCACCGTAGAAACAACTAAGTCGGTGTAAATCTAGGGTGTTGGAGTGTAGATCAGCGACTGGATAGTGTAGATCGGCGATGGCGGAGGTGGATAGTAAACAGTGGCGGTTGATCGGAGACAGTGAAGTATAGATTGGCGACGGTGGAGATGGTTAGTGAACAATGGTAGTAGTAGTGGCCGGCGAAGATGGTGGTGGTAGTGATCGGTGGAGGTGGCGGTGGTTAGTGACGAACGACAATGGTGGTCGCGGGTGGATGGCCATAGCATAGCTACAATGGTGGTATTTTCTATAGAGAGAGAGAGATATGAGAAAGAAGAAGAGTTTTGGAAAATGATCAAGAGAGAAATTGATAAGTAATAAATATTATAAACAATTAAAGATTTAGAAAGTGTTTGGGATGATTTAAATAGAGATTTTTACGAGCTAGTAGCAGGGGCAAAATTGGGATAAAAAAACATAACAAGATTTCATGGTGCATGAGATAGAAACTTAGGACATAATAGGTAATAGATTCAATTATTAGGACCAGCTAGTAAAAATCCCATAATTAAAATGGCCAATCTAAACTAAATTAATAAAAGGCCCAATCTAAAATGTACATTCATGAAAAAAAAAAAAAAAAACCACTTGAATTTTAAAGGTTTAAAATTATGTTTAATACAAAACCCAAATTGAATTAAAAAGGCCTAAAAACTTAAGGCCCCAATATATATTTTAAAAACTTTTTAAAACTAAGTGTAAATAATTTGAGTCCCCAATCATGATTCTTAGAAAGTATATTTCAAGTAATATTTTATTACTTTTTCAATATTCCAATTTATATTTTGGTCCATTTTTGTTATTGTAAACTTTGTCATATATTTAAGCAAAATGTAGTAGACTTTTTATGAGTATTATTTTTTTTTAATACGTATGAAAGACCCCATATTTAGTGCTCGCTTTGGGTCTCGAAAAACTCAGAACTGACACTGGGACTACTATGGATACTCAGGCAATTGCACTAACTTAAAAGTTGAGTTATAGGGTTTATACAAAGGACTAACAATCTGTCACGACCTAAAGCCGCCCCTATAGGTTTAGTATCGTAACCGACCAGTAATCTTAAGATTACTGAAGGCCTCTGAAACAGATTAACAAAATAAGGGGCTAATGGAATCAAATATATAAAATACATTGTCCATAAAGTTGTGCAGACATATATGGGACATAAAATTTGAACTTATATTCACATATAAATAGTGACGTCATATATATATATATATATATATCATTGTTTTACGTCACCCTTACATATAGACAAACAAAATTCATGTCCAAGCAAGAGAAAAGGAAAGATAAAAAACAAACGTCACATGCACAAAAGTTAATCATTTGAACCACTTGGGAACCTTCTTGGGAGGCACGTTGGTTGGCTTGACAAGACAAAACTCCAGGTAATAGCTTAAGCCTAGTCTCGCACTTACATACGTAAATAATACAGTAAGCTAGAGCCCAGTGAATAACAACAAGGTAAAGGGTTTATGAATGATGTCCCATTAGATTCAAAAATCATATTTTAGATCAGAAATAGATTCAGATTCACATGCTTATACAAATTTCATAAATAGTTATATGTGGTACCTCTAGTAGTTAACAGATCAGATTGGTCAAATGACCCATGTGCAGAGTAGGTGATCATTAAGACCATAGTCGGTACTGACAACCATATAGATCAACGGTTAGTTCCAAAGATTGGAATCGTCAGAAATCTCTGTGCACATATAGCTATGGTATTGTTACCCTTAGGTGAGGGCCACATAAACATAGACCGCGGTATTGTTATCCTCGGGGAAGGGCCACGTAAACATAGGATGCCACATTACGTTACAGAAAATTGGACATTCATTCATGGTTCACAAATAGCATTTCAGAAAACAGATCATATCATTTCAGTCAAAAAATACTTATAATCAAACATAACTTTACAGAGTTATTACACATAGATAGCTCCAGAAGCTGAACAGATAACTTAGATAGATCGATCGGATAAAGGCACG